TAGTGTAACTGTCAAAATACCAAAGTTACACCAAGTTTAATATTCCCTTCTCTGATCTGGAAGCTAAACTGACATTTGGAGTATCCATTAATGCAGAGCCTGATAGGGTAGCCACTAGTTACATGTGGGTATTTACATTTAGATTAATTAAAGTGAAATAAAATTTTAAACATTGAAAAATTAAATCAAAAGTTCAGTTCTTTAGCCTCACTAGTTACATTTTAAGCACACCATAACCACATGCAGCTAGTGGCTACCATATTGGACAGCATCCATGCAGAGAGTATCCATCACTGGGAAAGTTCTCTTGGACAGCACATGTTTAGTGTGTGAACTACTGTATTTGTAGACTCTGTTGTGCTATGGTATCTTACTAATTCTTCAAAATAACCCTGAAGGGTTTCACTACCATTTTGCAGATAAGGAAAGAATCTCAGAACAGTTAAGGAGTTAGCTTCTCACACAGTAGCCACTATAGAACCTGACAGATGGTCAGTGTCCGGGGCATGGACAGCTGAGCTAGGAAGTGAGAGGCCCAGGAGTGTTTGATCACAAGGCCCAAAAGTTCCAACAAGGTTCTGTGTCAGTATTACTGCATTTTAAAACCAAACATTTGTAAACTCAACTCTCCCTTCTCCTTACTCTAATTTAATACTCCTTACTCTAATACTCTAATCTAAATCCTAAAATTACTCTTAAAAAGCAAAAGTATATTTCAGTCTTAAAAAGACAAGATAAGTAAGTGGATGTCTAGGTCTAGATTGGAGGGTGACTGAAAATAGGCACAAGGTTTCTTTTGAGTTGGTAGAAATATTTTAATATTAGATTGTGGCATAAATTGGTTTCTATATAAATTTATTTTAAAAATCATTGAATTGTACATGTAAAATGTGTGAATTTTATGGTATGCAAATTATACTCAGAAAAGCTGTTAAAAAAGAATAAGATATAAATCCTAAAACTCTAGGGCAGCCAAAATGTAATGTTGAAAAGCTGCCAAAAATGTTAATTAGTGAGCCAAAGATTAATTGCTGACATTTCCTGAATTTCCCTCATGATGGTCAAAGAAATGGTGTTCCATCTCAAGTCAAACACAGGGAAACTCAGCTAGGTATGTATTATTATCCTCATTTCACAGGGAAGGAAACTGACACTTAGAAAGTTAAAATATGTTACCTAAGGTCCACAGCCAATAAGAACTGGCGACCGTGTCACACCCAACGCTGTCTGGCCCCACGGCCCCTGGCTGCTCTCCCGCCTCCGTCATGCTCCCTCCCTGGGGATGAGATGCCCTCCCATTGCTTGACCCACACTTACTTTCCTTCTTCCAGGACAGCAAACTGATTTTCTGATGTTTCTGTCAGCTTTTGTATTGTGTACTCAAAAAGAGTCATGAAAGCTATGAGGCTAGAATTTGTTTTCAATATTGAATAAAAGGAGGAGAAAAGATTCTGGGCCTTATGTTAATGGAAAATATGCATTTCTTTTGATGTTCACTAGGATGCATGGCATCTAAAATTGATATGTATGTATATCTATACACACACCCCTAAATACATACATGTATAATACATAAGTGAAGAGACTTAAAGCAGTTGTTTCCATTTTTTCCCCCAGTTTAACTGGGGCATTGGAGACTTCCAAGTTGTGCCTTGCAATGGTATCTGCTTAGGAACATTTGAGGGACTAGCCTCTGTGTGCCTCTTGCACATTGGCTAACAGCCCAGGTTCGGCTCACCCAGTAAGCTTGCTCTTTGCCCATTTTATGAAATGGGATTCTGAAAAATGAAAAGCTTATGGGGCTGCATTTTCCAGCTTTGGCCAGTTCTGTCCTCTTGCCACCTAGCATTATTCCCGTCTTGCCAAGTCCCTCTTCCTGATCATGAATGTTTGAGTAGTTCTCTGAGCAGTCTCCCTCTGACCGCCCCCACCCCGTTTTACCAAGCTAACTGTAGGGCCCCTGCCCTTCCCAGCTCCTTCCTCTAGTCTGACCCAGACAGTTTCCTCTTCAGTGGCTCTCTTGTTTTTCTTTCTATGCCTTTCTAAATAATGTAGGTCCTTTTCTTTTTATTTTTCTTCCTTTCCCCTGGAATATATCTATACTCTTTTTGAACTAGTTGAAACAAAACAAAATAAAACAGAAGTAAAAAGAAGAAGCCAATTCTGTGCCAAGGCAGCAGAACATGTCCATGGGCCAAATTCAGGCTCTTGATGTTGGACCTCTGCTTTCCCTAGGACCCTGGGAGACAGCAGCAATGGTTTCCGTGTTCAAAGAAATGTAGGTGTCATTGAAAAAAAAAACAAAAACCAAACCAGAGTAAATGTTGAAATGATATGACACTGTACTTATGAACATGGATATCAGAGTGCTTTATTTTTTCCCTCTACTAGTATTCTTAGAAACGGGGAAGTAAACAGAAGCTTCTGCTTTTTACATATTTGGCAATAGTAGAACTTGGGTAATTTTGAAATTCTTACAGTCTTGTTCACATTTCAAAATAAGGTTCATTTTCAGGCGTCCTTGAGTCATTTCTTGTGTGCTCAGAGATGACTGAATGCCAGGATATGAAAAGTCATTAAAGTAGTTTAAGGAAATTAGCCATCTCCTAGAGTCAATAGTAGATTGTGTACTTTAGCCGTTTGACTCACTGCTCCAGCGGGCGGCCTGCTTTCTTGTGGAGTGTAGATACTAGCCTTCACCAGCACATGTTTTCAAAACAAGGCAAGTGCCTTCTTCCTGACTTTCTGTATCATAATCACTTTATGGTCCAGACATCCTCACGCAGACATCCTAAAATGATCACTGCAAATGTCACACTTCAGCAAAGCATCACCTAGAACTAACTTAAAACCGTTTTCATATATACTTTAGAAACATTGTTTTCTCTCTCTCTCATCCTGGATTTTATGCAAGTGTACCTAAATTTGGACAAAAGATGTGTTCTAAGAGAACTTTAAAGGCTCTCAAGGTAGCTCTTTTTTAAGCAATAGTGGATCAATAAAATACTCATGCTGTATTTACCCAGTTTGTAGGTCCAGATTTTAACCCAGTAGATTTGCATTGAGGAATTTGATTATAATTTGGGCAACAAATGCATTTCTTCTTTAAAGGCACTTTAGAAAGTGCAACGTTAAGTGAATAGATTTGGATATATTGCAGCTATCAAACTTACAGTGTAATCATTTGATAATAGAAAAGTGTATCACATCAATGCCTTGCACACCTTAAACTTATGTTATGTGTCAGTTATATCTCAATAAAGCTGGGGAGAAACAGTGTTTTCTTTGCAGCAAATACAGTAAGAAATTTGGATACATTTCAAGATGGGCTATTGTGTGTATATATATTGTTAATGAATTGAGAACTGTTTGGAATCTGTTAACTTGTTTTTTTTTAATGACTGTAGAAATGTCAGCAGTGGGGAACAGGGATGAGGATGACTAGTTATCATGTGCCAGGCCCTGGAGTGATACATAAGTGCAGCTCAGTGTAGGGCTTGGAACTGCTGGTTCTAAGGTTAAACTGCTTGAGTTCGAACCCCAGCTTCCATACTGTTACAAGGATTTAGTGAGATAAGGTGTGCAAAGCATCTAGCCTCACGCCAATATGATAGCAAGGGCTTAATCAACATTAGCTGTTTGTTACATCTTATTCCATTTGATCCTTTGATGTAGGCAATGTCCCCGTTTATAGATGAGGAGACTGAGTCGGACTGGTCTAAGTAACTTGTGTAAAATTCTCATAACTAGGCTGTGTAAGTAGAATTTAGAGCCAGTGTTCTGTTGGGCACTCTGATAAAATCTGTCCAAGAGCTATTGTTCTAGGCTACCAGGAAAATCTGTGCTGGGATTTTTTTGTGTGGTGGAAAAGACCACTTCAGCTAAAATGACATCCTTTCCCAAGAAACAAAGCTGCCCTTACAGGCAGCAAATTCACAAATAACGTGTAAACAAACCCTAACATTTCTATGTTTAGAAGAACTTTCAAAGGGCCGTTTCATCAGTCAGCCATTCTTAGAGTTCTTTTTTTGTAGTGGATAGCAAATTCTCGGCTATAAGGCTAGGCTTGTGCTTTTTAAAGTCTGTGCATGATTTATGAAACATGCCAAATGCACCAGTCCTATTAATACCTCTGCTGTGTAAATGTCATCATCTATGCAAATATCAACTTCTAACGCCAGCTTAAGGAAATCATAAGGATGATGTTCCTTTAGCAACCAGAAGGCAAACTTCCACATTTTTTGTTGTTTGGTTTTTTGTTTGTTTATATTTAACTTTTTAACTACTATAGTTTTCATCTCTTCTTCTGGCACAAGAACCAAAGTGATACAGGGCACCTCACCCCTTAGCCACGTCAGTCAGACTGGATTTCAGTGTTGTCCAAATAGCCCACGTGTGTTCCAGGCGTGGGCTTCAGTTGAGGACTTCCTTGTTCATGGCTTGGTGGCCTTAGTGACCAAGTATGGCTAATATAGACAATGATCTAAGTTTTAAAAGTGAATGAGTTCAATGGAGTCCACATTGGAACTAGAAAAGCATTTTACTACTGTAGGATTTTGCTTTGCTGTGGTAAAATCTCAGAAAATTGATCATCTGTAACCTAAGATTGGTAGCATTTAGCTTTTGTAACAGGCTGTCTCTTTTTCCTTTGAGTGTATGTATAAAAGAGAGAATGGAATGAATCTTAACTTATGGGTTTAACATAAAGATAGCACAAAACAAGAAGAATTGGGAATGAACATCATGTAATTTTCATTGCAGCTTACTTCCTAGCACTTAATCTAGTCAAAATATTTTCCTTCACAACATTGCTACCTTCGGAATTACTCAGATGCTTAACCGTATTCTGCTGTCTAAATTTACATCTGCAATAAGACACAGAGTGTATGCATCAAATTCTATACAAATGAAAAGAGGTCACTCCAGGGTGCTGTTATCCCATGTGACATTTAAGAAGCTCCACATCACCTCATTTCAACCACGCTGGGTTTCCTTTCCAGGGTTCAGCGGATTCCTACACGAGCAGACCGTCTGACTCCGATGTCTCCTTGGAAGAGGACCGGGAAGCGATTCGACAGGAGAGAGAGCAGCAAGCAGCTATCCAGCTTGAGAGAGCAAAGGTGACTTCCTTGCCCCTTTTTGGTTCCAAAGTGGCATGTTGCTCAGCAGGTATCAGCTCCACTTACCGTGCCTCAGATTTCTCTGGAACAGTCATTTTATGATCATCTTGATAAGGCACCAGATTTTAAGGCTCCAATTCATTCATCCCTGAAACAGGTTCATAACTTTCCAAGGGGCCATTTCTTGAGATGCTGACCCTTCACTCATCTGTGGTTAGTCTGGTGGTGAATTACTAGTCATCTTCCATCATAGCCGTTATGGCCAATATTAAGTCGACCCCACCCAGGGTTCACAGAGAGCCTTTCTAAGATACCAGCTTGGCCGGGTCCTGACCCCTTGTTCCCATGACATCAGCCTTCATTACAGGCCACGTGGGCACTGCTATCCTGTGGTTCTCCCTGCTGCTCTCTCTAGTCTTCTCTCTTGGTTTTAATCTCCCACCTGAAGTTCAGCATCAAGCCAAGAACTTTGAACAACTCTTAGTATTTCAGCAAACACGAGCAATAAAAGACATTGCCGAAGTAGACCTTCAGATACTCCACATAGGAATTTCTGCACCCTCAGGTCCCAACAAGGAACAAATTACATTTTTGAATGTTAGAACCAAAAGAGTCAGTAGAGATCTATTTTATGTCTTTCAATATTGTTTTCTCCTTTAGCACAGACCCCTTTTGTCAAATGAAAATTTTATGCACCATAGCAAAATATAAAACAAGGGTCATGGCCAGCCTCTTCTCCTTGCCTTCCATGACAGACTTATGAGGCATAGTGATCCACTCTTTCTTTTAGAAGAATAACTGTAGCTCAAATAAAGGGAATTCCTTCTCTTTTCAATGTTTACAGTAAAATCTTTAGGAGAGCAGCGAGAGGAGAAGGCCGCAGGCAATGAGGCATCTTCCTGAGCTCTGACACTTCCAGGGTCTGTGCTCGGTGGAAGGGGGCTTGGGGCAGTGCCTGTAAAGGGACATCAGTGACTCTAGCTCAGGACCTGCTTCTCTGCTGTTTCCCAGCCCTATTCCCAGCACGAGCTAATGAGCCAGCAACATAGCAGCCCAGGACTGTGGGAAGCTGGTGTTCTCATTTGTGGCTCTTTTTTGTTTTAGTTTTTTTTTTCAGAGTCTGCTTTGTGGCTGCGGTGGTACCGCAGATGTCAGCAGCAGCATGGCCAGCCCAGGCTAGTGGTTTGCTTGGCCTCTGTGAGGCTGCACCAGCCCAGAGGCATTTGCCTGGGGAGGAACTTGTCTAAAAAGAGTTTCAGAATCAGCTTTTGTTAGGTAGGGAGAAGATGATGTGTGGGCAGTTTTGCTCTTCCTGTTGACCTCTGACGGGCCTTTCTTTTCCTGACAGGTATTCTATGAATTGGGGTTTCACAGGTTTTCAGGTCCAGCAAACATTTATTTATTTAAGACCCAGCATGTTTCCTGTGTCCCACGGGGGTGGGGGGGTGGGGTGGGGGGGGGTGTTACAAGTTAAAATAACCAATAGAAGTTTTATGGCTAGAAGACAGAGCAGACTCCTTCCCCGCCACCTTTCCATCCCTCCCCAGTACGTTAGGGCAGGAGTCTTCATTTGGGGATGTTGGAAAGTACCACAGGAGGGGGAGAAATGGTTGAGCTGAGAGCACTGGATTGTTTTCAGTCACCTCTGCAGACTTCTCAGCGCCACCTGGGAATGTGAAACACATTTGAGATCTTCCTTGGAAAGCAATTTCCCTCACTGCCCGGTACTCTCAATTATCTTACTATACTTCCAGGAGGAAAAATCCTCCTCTGTCTTCCTCCTCCATCCTCATGGCATGATTCTGTCCCCAGTCCAAACCTGTAGCATTTGCTGTGAAGACGAATGTGAGCTACTGCGGCGCCTTAGATGAGGATGTACCTGTTCCGAGCACAGCCATCTCCTTTGATGCCAAGGACTTCCTACACATTAAAGAGGTAAATGCAGGACACTCTGCGTCCCTTGACCTTCCACAAGTCCAAAGTCAGTAATCAGCTCAGAGCCGAACTAAATGGAGAGGAGGACTGAGGAGCTGCCAGTGATTTGGTGGGCTTTCCAAATCCATTCATTCTCACTGAGATTTAGAAACCGAGATCATAGCTTGCATTATCACACACTAAAACATTGCAGCAGCCGCACCATAGGCTGGATTAAGGACAGACCTGTGGTCCTCCGGTCACCCTTTAATCACCGTGCTGGACTGCAGAGCCCTAGAGCTACAGAGCCGACTTAGAGAGACTTGGTTTTAGTGACATGGAGCCTCCCCATGTGGGACCATTTACAAGGGATGTTGTAATTATAAATGTCTGTATTATAATCCTGTGGACCTTGACCTTGGAACCAACACTAGGGAGTATAATAATTAAGTGTCAAAGTTAAGAAGTGGACAGAGGAGTTTGGGAAACAGAAAGCTTGAGATTGAGCAGTTCAAGGAGGGCTTGAGGCCTCATAACTTGAAAGGTGGAATAGTGACATCAGAAACTTTCTGACTCAACCTAAATAGAGAGATCCTACCTCATGTCAGACATTGTGCTGGACATGGAGGGATCAGTAATGAAGACTCACTGTCTCTGCTGCCAGAGTGCTCCAAGTCTGGTGGGAGAGACTGACAGGTACAGAGTTTCTGCCTGGGATGGCAAGTTCTACTATAGAAAAATTGAATAGGTGTTGTGGGAGCCCAAAGAAAGAGCAGGAGGGACCACCTGGCTGGGGGAGAGGAGGAGCAGAGGGTCAGGAAGCTCTACAGAGGTGATGAAGCCTGAGGGAGTTCAGGCTGGTGTTGGGGGTGCGGGTGACATCAGGTGGAAGGACCAGCCGGGAGCAAAGCAGTGGTAAACTAAGGCATGCATGGGGGTAGACCGGGTCAGTGGGGCAGGGGCCAGATAAAAGAGCACCTCTTAGGCCATGGCAAGAGACCTGGACTTTATCACCTGGGCTGGAGAGGAATTTTAAATAATGGACAGCTGTGATCAGCCTTGCAGCTAGCATGTTTACTCTGATGGTTGAGGGAGTGTCGCAGAGGCTAAGGAGACATGATAGGGCTGGACAGTGGCTGCAGAAGAGGAAGGAGAGAGGGAGCAGATAGAGAGAGAGAGTTAAGGGCCAAGTAGATGGGATTGGGAGATTTCGGATGGTCAGGGATATTGGAGAAAGTGAGAGAGAGAAAGGAAGGATGGAGACAGTTTTTCCAACCTACTTGAAAGGGTAAAGGGTGGTGTCAGCTATCAAAATAAAGAAGGCAGAAGGCGTGGCATGGGGGTGAAGTGAAGATGAATGTGCTTTTAGGTACAGTGTGTCTGGGGTGCTATTAAACTCCCATGAAGGTACTTACTTAATAGGCCTTTACCCACATAATCTGGAGTTCAGAGGAGAGGAATTACAATTTCTCCTTCCTAAATTCTTTGGTTTGAAAAAAAAGAGTGGGGTCTAGCCAGGAGAAGACAGCATAGAGTTGAGGGAGTTTTTAAAGTTTGATTTGATTTTTTTTTTTTTTTTAGAATGGGAAAGATTTCAGCATGTTTTCCACACTGAGATATTGAACCCAGTGAACTATATTGGAAGGAAAAAGCATAACTGATAGAGTGAGGGGCTGAAATAGAGGGGAAGGGATGGCATCCGGAAGTTTGGCACAAGAATTAGGCCTTGTCAGGAAGATATTCTTCCCTTCCTTGAACTTCCCTGTTCTGCACAGAAATTCCAGTGGAGTTGTGGTATACGCTGGAGGACGTTCCTACTTGATAGTCTCCATCGGCTCTGCCTGGAATGAGGCATTGGAAATTGAATCTTAGGAAAAGGCGAGTAAAAAGGTGGAGTAATAACATGAAATCTGAAAATGGAGAAGCCTAAGGAATGTGATCCCCATAAACATACCAGTTAATGTCACTGAGACACTTGCACTTTCCCTCCCCCATGCGCTGTCCAAAACAAGATGTACGTGGTAAATAGAATAATATTAAAAATCATTGTCTTGGAAACTCTGCATTCTGCAGGGGCATTAGTGACACCAAGACATATACATATGTTTAACACCTTACTGATTCGATAGCAAGTAGGTCAAACATCTGGATGTCTACAAACGTTTGCCTGTCTTTGCATTGTGTCTGTGTGACCTAGGTGAGGCTGTACATTTGTTCCTTTGTTTAGTGACTCATTCAAGATAAAGTTCTTGAGTATATGGTGTGTGGTAGACCCTGGCATATGTTTCTGACAGGTATAAACAAAACTGTCAGTGTCCCTTCCCTCATGGATTTATATTCCAGTGGGGAGACAGTTAATGAACAAATAAATAATTCCCAATTGTGAATGCTGAAAATTTTTAAATATAGGGATAAGGGGGTTATATATTTTAAAATATAGGGATAATCAGAGAAGGTCTGAGAATGTGGACTTTAAGCAGAGACCTGAAAGAGGAGGAAGAGCCAGCCCAAAAAAGAGTAAGGAAAAGCCTTTTAGGGAGAGGAAACAGCATATGCAAGGCCTGAGATAGGAAAATAGCTTGGTACAGTCAATTAACTAGGAGAGGCTATATGGCTGGAATGCATATATTCATAAGGGACAGGGACCTAATAACAGGAACAGAGTTATAGAAGTACACAGGGCACAGGCCAAGTAGTACCTTAAAGGTGATGGTGAGACTTGAGATTTTATTCCAAATGTAATGAGAAGCCATTGAAGACTTGAAAAGCAGAGGAGTAGGATGAATTTTCATTTTAAAGACTATTCTGATTATTGTAGAGACAATGGAATCAGGGAGACCATTCAGACCATTCTAGGTGATAGATGATGGAATTGAGCCAGCACAGTAGCAGTGAAATGGAAAGAAGTAGACAGGTTTGAGGTATATTGTGGACATTCAATGAAGAGCACCCATCTGGGCCAGTATAAGGATTAAGATTGAGGGGGAAATGAAGGGTGATCAAGGAAATCGTGTTTGGGAGGGAGGTTGTGGAGTGGACATCTCAAAGCAGGTATCAAGTAGGCGTTAGACCTAAGGATCTGGAGCTCAGAGCCAAGGACTGATCCTTAGTTTATGCATGGCATTTAAAGCTATAATAATGAATAAAGTCACCTAAAGAGAAAATAAAGGGAGGACAGAAGGCAGCACTGGATCAGCTCTTAAGGAATTCCATCCTGCAGAGGTGGGGAACCTGAGAAGACTCAGCAAATAGGGAAACTGAAAAGGAGGAAAACCCCTCCTGGGATACAGGAGGAAAACCAGAATGGAGCGGTGCATGGACACCGGGAGAGGAATGTGTCCCAAAGGAGGGGGCAGCAGTGGTGGCAAATGTTGTGGCTTGTCACCGAAGTTGAGGAGGGGTGGACGCTGGGTTGGCACTGTGGCGGCCGGCAGCACAGAAGTCACTGGGGCCATTGTCCGGAACTGTGGAGACACAAGTTCAGGGAAGCGGGATGAGGAGAGAAGGGGCGTTAGGAAGTACGGTTAGCAAGCATAGACCGTGCTCTCAAGGACGTTGACGCTGACCAGGCAGTAGGCTGAGGAGGATGTGAAGCCAAAGGAAGTTCTCTTTTAAGACAGGAGCTATTGGAGCACCTGTACATGCTGATATTAACAAGCCGAAAGAGAGACAGCAAGAGAGATTGATGGGAAAGGAGAGACAGGCCAAGGAGTAATATTTTTATGTAGGCTGGAAGGGTGGGATCCAGACTCCAGGTTTTTGATAGGAAAGGGAGTGCTTACTCGTTGTAACAGGTAGGAAATAGATGATCGCAGGCATAGACAGGTCAGAGACGTGGTAGTGGGAGCTGGGAAGCATCCACTGTGGCTTCTGCTTCTCAGTGCCATATGAAGTGAGGATATCCACATCTGCCTAGAGGACAAGGACCCTCAACGAGAAACATGTGCCATGGCATCTGAATGATTGATTTTTTTTTTCTCACCATTCTCATTAAAAAATGACCAAACCGTATTCCTTAGTGGCTAATAGCCATTGGGAAAAACAGTATTTTAAAAGGTAAGAGAAGTTCTCGCATATTCCCTACACCTTGACTCACACCAACATTCTAACCTTGCTGTATTTTGTGGCTTTGTTCCAGTCCATCAATAGTCTCAGTTTTTCCTAGTGATTGCTCTTTGATCTATATGCTCCTTGATCAGTGACTTTCTCTCAGCCTGGCAGTTTGATGAATGGTATTGAGCTGTAATCCAATGAAGATTAGAGTCACTTGTTTTCAGATCTTGAAGTATCAGATAAGGAAATAAAGAAAAAGCACTGATCATTTAGAGAAATCAAAATAAGGAAGATTGGAACCACACTAAGGAGGGCCGTGCCAGCAAGCTGAGTGCGCTGGGAACATCAACACAAACGAATACATTTCTTTAATCAAGTTGTGTAGCCTTTCCTCTCATCCATCACTTCGAAGGCCAACTATTACGCGCTGTTTTAAGTGCTATCTCAGTAACGTAAAGCTTAAAATGCAGAGAAAAGTGGCAGCTCTAGCTATCATATACACCAGCTGACCAGCAAATTAAGCTCTTGAATGTACACAGCAACTTTTCCCCAACCGACTAAAGAACTTTCATTGAAGTTGGGTCAGATTCTCACTGTTCATTAGCTGTTTCCTAGAATGAAGTCGAATCATAGTGCAAAGTTGCATTAACCATTTCAGGAAGCCCTTTAAAGTGGCGTGGGTAACAAATTAGTGTTCCAGTGGGCTAACTTAATTTCAGGAAATAACTTAAGCCATAGGAAACTATGACTCATAGTCTGTTTTGTCCCCACCACAGTAAAATTTAAATTCCAGACCTATGTACCAAAAATTCTAAAAGGGTACCCTTGCCTTTTGTTATTTCCAAAATTTTCAGGCCCAGTATCCTGAAATGAAAGATGGCCATGGGAGAAAGTAAGACCTAAACTGTTCTAGATTTTACTTAGCACAGATATATTTATCACATTTCTTCAGTGCAGCCTCATGCCAAATGCCATACATGCCTTGTGTGGGAGCTGTGTGCATGATAAAGGCCAAATCCCTGCTTTTGAATGTGAGGCTGTTACTCAGAATTACTCAAAGTTATGCAGAATTTCATGCTGCAGTGATTCGATGAAGCCATCCATTCCTCCATTGCAGTATGTTAATGTCACATACATATAAATTCTGTTTTCTTTGAGCTAAGCAAAGTATACTACATATAGTTGTTACATCTTGAAATGGATACTTTTTGGATCAAAGAGAGTTATTTTGCCCAATACTAATAAAGACAATAAAGGAAGTTTTGGGAATCATCTCTGGAGGATATAAACAATAGGACTGATATATGCTTTCTAGAAATCACCTAGCTGAAGCCTTCCGTTGAGGTAAGTGGCCTGAATTAAATATGCCTTCTGCCCTAGGATTCAGCAAATCTTTAATTATTAATACGGTTTTGCTGACCCATCAAATAGGACCATGTTCTCCCTCCATATTTGTTGAAGATTTTGCATGTATTTGTTTCTGAAGTTTACATTTCATGGAACTTTGCTTAAATGGAAATCCTGGTATTCCTATTGGACTTTAGGACATTTACAGATTATTTCAAAATTTCCACATATATAATATGATTAGCCTTTGAAGAGTAGGTATATTTTCCTTCGGGTAGTAAGATGGAATTTAATTTGCAAACCTACATTTGGAAGATTATAATTCTTCCCCAAAGAGAGTATCATGGAATTCTTACCTGAAAGTTTTTGACAAGTAAGACAATTGAATATATTTCATCTCAGATTTGTCTATCTTGTTTTCCAGAGTTCCAATTACATTCATACACTTATCCTTATAAAATCTATTTCTTAACAATTGGTTTCTTGACAAGGACTGAAAGAATCCTAAGGTTAGGACCTTAATTTACTCCAGGAATTGACAAGTTGTGGCCTACAGGCTGAATTTAGCCTACTGTGTCCTTTTTGGAAAGAAAAGATTTATTGAAACCACACCCATGTTCATTTGTTTACATGTCATCTATAGCTGCTTTAGTGCTATACTAGTGATTCGAGTAGTCGAAACAGAGACCACGTGGCCTGCAAAGCCTAAAATATTTACTCTCTGGGCCTTCAGGTAAAAACTCTGCAGACCCCTGCTGTAGTCAAAGGACTCCCTAGATATATATAATATAGTATAGTATAATATACATAGTGTTTATGTATTTTATATATATATAATATAGTGTTTTGTTCTTCTAAGCCTCTGAAATTATTTAATCGAATGTGAAGATAAGTGAATTACTATTGACAGCAGCTTTATTTCTGCATTCCAGAAATATAACAATGATTGGTGGATAGGAAGGCTGGTGAAAGAGGGCTGTGAGATTGGCTTCATCCCAAGTCCACTTAGATTGGAGAACATACGGATTCAGCAAGAACAAAAAAGAGGACGTTTTCATGGAGGGTAAGTATCCTTCATTTTTATAAAGATTTTTGGGGGAGAGTGTAGGAAAATTAAGTCGTATTTTTAAATTTGCTTATTAACTTTAAAAATGTTTGCATTCAAAGTAAAAGATACTTTTCTAACTATGAGGTGTTTCTGAAATTGACACAAAGGAGTTTCAGGTAGTTCACTCTCCCCTTTGCCTGCTGAAGCCTGACACCACGTGAGTTCTACAGTGGACCGCTGTCTGCAGTCTCAGCAAACCCTCCTTGGAACCTAAGCTTTCCTCTCATATAGAGCATCTGTTCTCAGTACAGTAAGAGGGAGCCTGGCCCGACCAGGCTTCACGGCTCTTCTTGGTTCCCTTTCAGAGACTCCTTCAAGCGCGCATGGAATGCAGTGCTGCATGCGCTACCATCCTGCTACTAGACGCACCTTTTCTACACAGGGCTTTTTGTGGTATCTGCTATCTCTCGGTAATGTGGTGAAGATTCTGACTAGCTTCAGATGAGTCAATCTCTAGTGAACTAATGAAGTAGACACGAAAATCTCAGTTTGTGAATCTACATTGAAGCACTGATTTTATATGTATTATCATTTTTGAAAGTCCCAAAATAGAAGCAGTTCTTTCTCTTGACTCTTAACCTTCTTTTTCTGTTGGACATTTTTTTGTTTCAAAATCTCTATTCTTTAAACGTCCTTTTGCCTTGGTCATAATAGGAACCTCTTAAACAGTAATAGAAGGTCACAAGAGTGAAGTTAGCCCCACATTTAATTTTCAGTGTTTTTAGTGTATAACTTGCCTAAAATATTGTTAATTATTAATTCCTCTTGTTCCCTTTTCTTTTCAGTTTTTGTCTCTCTTTTTGCTCCTTAAAATGTTGGGAACATAGGTTCCTGCCTCAGGACCTTTTCACTTGTGGTTTCTTCTTACCAGAACACTTCCCTTCACATTTCCAATAGATCATTCCTTCATCTGCTTCAGACCTTTGTTAGATATCACCTTTTCAGTGACCTCTTCTCTGCCACCATATTTTAAATTGTACCCACTTCCCTTCTCTTCCTTTGCTTCCTATCTCTCTCTGAACTCTGTTTTTTTCTGTTGCACTTATTACTGTCAGAAATACTATGTATTTACCTGCTTATCTGTTTGATAGTGATATCTCGCACTAGAATCTGTCTCTATAAGGGAAGGGATTTTGTCTTTTCTTCCCCTCTGCCCAACTGTTGTATTCTTAGCATCTAGAATTTGGATACTCCATAAATATTTCTTGAATGAAATAATATATGAATCATTATTATTTCCAAAGTATTTATTGTTATTTTTATTATTCCATAAAATTGTTACATACTTTTGAACTAAAAACTTACTTTGTGGTAGGCACAAGAGTAAAACCAAGAGCTCATAGACATGATCTTATTTTATCTTTATACCAACCCCAGAGGTGTAGCTTCTCCTTCTACAGATAGGGAAACTAAGGCTCAAAGACATGATATGATGTGCCAAGTTTCCACAACCAGTAAGTGGCCAAGCCAGAGTGAGACATCAGGTTGTTCTGACTCTGGGAACCATACTCTTAAGCACTGAAAGTTGGAGACAGTGGAGAAGTAGGAAGGTGGGCTCCTGAGGGCCTCTGTGGGCACCCAGGAAGCTTCCAAAGCTACAAGAGGAGACCCACTGGAATAATCTTCCAAATGATGTTATTTGTGACCAAATCCTTACTGTCTGTTCTTAACTCTGGCCTCCACATAATCACTTCTAAGGAGAAATGCTTCTTCCAGGGCTTACTGCTTGTTTTGAGCTGTATTTGGCCTCCAGCTGGTGCACTGGCAACTGGTGTTAGTTAAGCAAGCGGTTCACAAGAACACTCCTATCAGTGATTCTTCTGCCAGATTTCTTCATTGAATAATGAAGATACTTTCACAAAGTATTTTGAGGTCCCAGTCACTAACCCACTTTCTCTGCAAAATGAGATCAAAGAAAACATTTGAACAGATTCTTGAAGTTCTTTTCTGTAGAAGGATTTGATGTGTTTTGAATTATTGAGTAGAATTAAAGCCAAAGAAAGCTGTATACTCTCAAGTTCCATTTTCAAGCAATCTGAGGAATGAGTCTTAAGTGCCCTTCCTATATCCTAGGAAATCCAGTGGAAATTCTTCTTCAAGTCTTGGAGAAATGGTATCAGGGACATTTCGAGCAACACCCACATCAGCAGGTGAGTGTTTTAGTTAAACTCTTTTTAGCGGAATGTATTCTTTTCTTAATATTTGAATATACATGCAAGTATTTTTACTAATTTGGAAACAATTTAAAGGTTCTTCTACTTAATATTTTGTTGCTCATTTGCTTTCTATAATCATTTGACTTCACTCTATAATAATTTGATTTCACTTAAAGGCATTTATGATACTAAAAATTCAGATCATTGTAATCTAATTTTGAAAAATATTATTTACCCATCCCACCCCACTCCTGAGGTAGTAACTAACCATTGTGTGAAACAATGTGAAGCAAGTTCCATATTCCACCTAAGAACGTAACAGACTTCGAGATGGCAAGGGCCAATTAAAAAGAAAAAAAACTGTAGATTCTCAAGAAACTGCTCTGTTTCAGGGTCTCTGGGAAACCTTAGGTTATGTTGGTACAGACTGGGCTGTGGAGATCAGGAGGATTGAAGCAGAGAATGAGATCGGACCCAGATAACCTCATTTCTATTTGGACAGCAGACAACTGAGCCCTGGAATTAATGGAAATGCAGGGACAATGGTGACCCAACCAGCAGTTGAGCATTTGGAAATTACAGAGGTACTCAACTGGGAATTTTCCTTCTACCTCATTCTCTGGCCTCCATAGGCTAACTTCTTCTGGCCATGAATTGATGCTGCATTAGGGCATCCAGTATTACCAGTTCAGAATAACCAGTCAAGGTCTATCCTGGCCTGCCATAACTGCAGGAAACTGTGTTGGCACCGAGCACCTGGGTCCTTGCTCATGTGCATCCTTCCTGATCTCGGAGCTCTGAACCAGTCTAGGTCTTTGGTTGACCCAAATGGATTGTGATGCTGCTCGGACTGCCGCAAAACCACTTTAGTCAGATAGCGAGTATATTTTGCCTCATCCCCATTTGTTGGACATTTATGTCACTGCAGCTTTTTGCTGTTACAAATAAAAGAGAGCAGAAATACCTGGTTATAAACTGTTTTGAAATAAAGAACAGCACAGTAGGAAAAAATGTTTCAATATCCTGGAAAAAGACTTGATAAAACAAAGGACTATAAATTTTCTCATAGTAACCAAAATTACAAATCCAAAAATAACTACTGATTGAGATGATGATCATCTTTACCCAAATTGTGATTCTCTGTTTCTTTTCATCAAATTTTATTTGTTCAAGCTGTTCTAAGCCACACCATTTGCTGGGTCTGGCAGGGGAACAAACCCTGGCCCCTGGTTGGCTCAGAACTTCCAGTGTTGTTATAAAGTCCACTCTCACCACCCAACATGAAATTAGGATGGAAGGTCATTAGTGCAGGGAGGAAACTGTCTGTTTTTCATTTGTCTTCATAATTGGTCCATCCAGAATGAAATAATAGAGCAGTGCTCTATGGAGTGGGTAATAGTGAAATGAGAATTACAGGGACAAATTGGTACATTCTGCCATCTTTTAAAATCATGTACTATCGTTTACAAAGATTACATATTTTGATATGGCTCTCATTGTTGTCTTTTAGCAAAACAGAAGCAAAAAGTGGTAAGTTGCATTTCCTTTTTAAATCCACTGTTAAGGTTTCTATCCATACATGCCTGCAATGCTCCATTTCAGTGACCCAAAAGGCTGTAAACTAAGGGATGAGTCTCCTCAGTGGGGACGTATGGTATCACTTCTCATCTGACCTGAGACATATGAAATGTTCTTGTTGCTGACATGCTTATCCTCACCTTGTCACACGTGTCCATCATCTTTTTCAGACGGAGCACATCCCTCCTTATGATGTTGTACCATCCATGCGCCCGGTGGTGTTAGTGGGGCCGTCACTGAAGGGTTATGAGGTACAAAAACCAGTCTGTTATGCTTAAGTTCTTGAGCAAGAACCTAGGAGACATCCATTTGGAGCTTGCTCCTCCAGGGTCTGCTTACTTTTAGGAACCGATGGAAGCCCACTCCCAGCTTGGGAAGGCGGGTGGTACCGGGTGGGCTAAGGGACCCTTCGCTCTGTCTTCCCTCTCTGGCACACTTCTCATCTTTTATGTATTACATTGTTTAGCACTATCTCCCTCAAAACACTTCTAACAGGAAGTCTGGTCAAAGGTTTGCTCTACATTCAATTCAGAGAAAAGACTTTATCTGCTTTAACCATTGCCATCACCATTAGAAATACTAGAGTATGAATGGCCCAAGGAAGTACACAGGCCGTCTGCTGGCAAACCTGAATCCTCAGAGTACCAGCTAACCTCACCGTGCTGGGTGCTCAGTATGACGCCATATTCCACCACATACTTCCCTGCTTACTTATTTTAAAGGACATGTAGAAGGAAAGAAAGTCCACTAAAAATATGAGTGAACTTCTTCAGAGATGAGTTAAAAAATAGCATGTAAGAAGGAGAAGATTAAAGACTTAGATGTACTGCATTTCAGATGCTGCCATTTTGACTTTGTGCTAGCATACGTAAAAACAGGTGGGGTGGGACACTGACATCTGCGGGTGGGCAGCCTGGGCTTTGACTCTATCTGGCACATAGCAGACATCCAGTGCACACTTGTTGACTAAATTAATGAATCTCTTTGAAGAAGAGTTAGGAATGCCCTCCCGCTCTCCTTCCTCCCTGCCCTGCCCCTTCCCTCCTCCACTGCCCTTTCCCTTGTTCTCCCTCTACCCTTCACCTCCCCCCCTCGGTGGGGAATGTCAGAGGAAAAGAGGAGAGTGGTCTGCAGAAAGCCAGCCGTGGGCATGCAGAATTTCCACCCGCACGCACAGAGCAGCGGGACAGCTGTCCTGAGGAGCTCCGGGGCTCCTCACAGGAGAGCATCTCTCAGGCAGCTGCACCAGGGGACAAAGCCAGCCTGTTGCAGTCTCCCGGGGGCACTGCTGTCCCCTAATAGGGAAGAGGATTGGCTTTGGGTCTAGTGAACACTGATGATTCATTCCTCAGCCCCCTGGGGGAGAATCACAAGGGGAAGTTTTAGTAACTGCAAATGGTTAAGCATGAAGAACACCCCTCCCCACCCGCCCCAGATGGCTCACTGTGACCTGCTGCCCTTCCCGTCACCTTTCTCACTTTTGACTTCTTTCCCCCTCGCTCTCTGTGTGTGTTTGCCTCATTCTTTTTTTCTCACCTCTGCAAAGGTAACAGACATGATGCAGAAAGCCCTCTTTGATTTCCTGAAGCACAGGTTTGATGGGAGGTGAGACATATAGATGTTTTTGTACTTTTATCTTCCTTTAACCAAACATGTATGATACATTGATTTGAAGATTTATGTTTCCAGCAATTCTAGAAGTTCTCTAATTAAAAGTTAACAGAGTATTCATGGAAGAATACAGTGAAAGAGCTCTGAAAGTAGGAAGTATAGCATTGAATCCCCAAGAGAAATAGGACCTTGAGAAGGAAAATAGTATATTTGTTTTACTTAAATGTGTTTGTCTTTATTTTCTCCCTTGTCAGTGAATTCATACCAAGCTTTTTTTATTAAAAACATTAATGAAAATATAGACTATTTCTGAAAAATATGGTGGCTCACTGGTCAAGCTGAGAAATGTCATTTGGGAATTGTGTGTGTGTTCATGCATGTGTGCATATGTGGGTATCATATGAAGGTACAAAGTAATGAATTTCTTCAAAAGAAGAGTGCAAAGAATGTTTCTATCATAAGCCTCCCAAAGTGACTATTTTTGTAGGGAATAGTATTTCTTTGGATGTTCAGTTATGGATTATTTTACTAGAAATTACTTTGTTTTATTGGTCTATTCTGTATGTATCCTACTATAACCCATTTCAATATGGCTGAGTCTTTAGCCATCAAATAATTTTATAATTTAAGTTTTGTGAAAAATGTCTATAAAGAGTTTCTGTGTTTTGCAGAGAAATGATAAAAAGTCCATATTGACTCAATACTAACTACTAAGCACTTTCACAATGCAGAATGCACTTCATTTAAAAATAACCGTGTGCAACTAAATGCCTGAAGACTTACTAGAAATGAAGAAAACTTAAATAGTGTGTACAGAGAATTATGGGTAAATGCATCCAACTTACCAAATATTTTTAAATATCTTCAAATAGATTTTAGTACACATGGTATTTTAAGGAAAAGGCAAATATGATAATGCTTTGAGTACAAATTACATATATTTCACAAAAAAAAGCCTTCTAGGTAATTGTTTTTAAACTATTTATTAGTTTCTGGGTCTCTATGCAAAGAAAATAAGCTGAGATTTTAGTTCCCATCATTAAAATTTTAGTTCAAGAAATCAGAATGCTTTTTGCCATTATGTGAATGGCTAAGTACATTAGTACAGGCTAGGCTGCTTTAAAAAATAGACCCCAGAAGTGTAATGACTCAAACCCAATGAAAGCTATTATTGCTCATTTAATGGTTGAGGCAGGTATTCCTTAGCTTGGGGGCTGGGGTGGGGTGGAGAACTGGGCAGAAATTTGTTCCACCCAAGTTCACTTGGGGCCCTCAGGCCAAGGGTGGTCTCTCCAGTCAGCCTGTGGGGAAGGAGGCATGCCGGCCCGCAAGCGACACACATGGATCCTCACATTTCTTCGGTTAGAACTTGGTCACTTGGCCATGCTTAACTGCAGAGTAGGCTGGCTGTTGAAAAAATAACAGTATCTGCCACATACATCTACTGGACTGGGCCTAATAAGAAAGCCATGAGTTTATCCTACTGTCCTCTTTTTTAAAAGAAGATAGGCAGCGAATGAAGTAGTTTCAAAGAAAACAAGTAAAAAGCACTGAATAGAATATTGGAGTTGAAAGAACATGTAAAAATTGTTTTATTCTAATCTCTCTCCTTCAACAACCACAAGCAGATGGATAACTTGTTTTTGTTTGGAAACTTATGGCTCTTGGAATTCACTTCTTAAAAAAGCATTGTAAAAACAGCTGAATTCTGTCTCTTTAACTTAGTAGTGGTCTTGGTTCTGCCGTCCGATGACCAGGGCTATACTATTACCCTCATGCAGCTCTCCACAGATTAGAGGCAGCTGGCCTGCACGGCTCAGGCATCTGTGTTCTTGGTCACACATGCACACTTCCTTCAGCTATGCTTGAAGTCACATGATCTTAACCTATAGTGTCTTTACTTGAGAATATTTTAAGCAGTGACTCATCCTGTGACCTCTTAACAGCCCCTGATATGAACAAATCCCATCCCCCAATGCAGCCCAAGTTTGTGTCAGATTGTTTTGGTCCCACATAATATCCTTATACACAACAATGTCGTTTAAGGTTTGAAAAGGGGACCTATGGAAAAGAAGAAGGGAAATTATAAACCAGCAAAGAGAAAGTGAGTGACTAATTCCTGCTTTCAAGAGTAAAGAATCTGAGGTTCTTCCTCAGTCCTCAGGCTCAGAAAGAGGAAATGCATTTAATTGTAACAACAGAGATTTGTTTTGAATCAGGTAGAGTTGTCTACATTGCACACTTACACACACTATTGCAGATGGTTTTAGTAGAAATAGAATTAAAACATCGATGCCAAGTGTTCCATGGGGTCTGATGACACAGCAGATGACACATCTGAAGATGTGAGGAGGAACCCAACAGCTACAAAATAGCTTGAGAAAGACACTCAGCCCTGGAGAGAGCTGATGTACAGCAGAGTTGGAGAAAGATATTAAAGGTAGGAGTAGGAGAATGTACTTGCTTTCAAATAAGAAAGGGCTAGTGCATTAGCAAAAACCATAGTGAATTCACTGATCGAGTGTATGGAGACTTTGGTAAAGAAGAAATTTTCTTGTAACAATACACGGACTCTGACATGTCTGCTGCTGTTTGGGGATATCCTTACATTTTGAACTATGACAATCTGCAGCGTTATGTTTCACCAATTAATAAAGGGAGAGAAAATAACAAGCAGTCTTTAATTGAAACCAGCCAAGAGAACAATTACACAGAAGGCTCTAGCACAGCAGGACAGCATAAACAGTATGTTCTGATGGAAACCTACTCAATGACTCACTGGCTGTGAATGCAGTAGGTTAGACAAAATAGAAGGAAGTCTTATTATTTCTCAAAAAGAGCAAAAAAGGGATCCATTGGCTAAGAGGCTTTCTCCTTCAATACTGTTATTCACATCTTGGTTAGAAAATAATTCAACCAACTGGATTAAAGGCCAACAGCCTAACTACTGCATAATCATACACTTGCCTTTTTTTGATACCTGTGAATTATTTGAGTCAGTTTAGAGCTAATTATTATGCCGTTTTATTGCTAGAACTGTTATTGTAGGGCCTAACTATAATACATGTGAGAAAGATGAAAGCACAATACTAAATAGTCCCTGTGCATGTGAATATCCACACGTAGTGACAGTTCTTTGCACAAATCATAAACTCGCTAGCACCGCCCAAGCTGCTACAACGGTACCAGCGTGGTGTGGACACAGTGGACGCACAAGACACAGAGCCATTTGTCTTCATTTTATACCATGTACATTCCTTGGGGATCATCCTCTGGGCTGAGGTTTGTTCAACTGGTTAAATATACCATTCAAGCAGTGAAAACAACTGCAATCTATTGACCTATGCTAATCATTTCAAAATCCAATAGTATTATTACTTTAGGCTTTTTGACAACTGAATCAGATCATGTCTGTGGTAGTCATCCAATACTGTGTAACTGACATGATCATGGCCAAAAATTCTAAAGAAACACCATGTAATCTATACAGATAGGATCTGAAGCTAAAGCAAGTTATTAGCCAAGGAACACTTAAAGGAGAAAAAAACGCTTTGGGAAAGAATTGGAAGAAAAGAGGCTGAAATTACAACCTAGGGAGACTCAAAGAGGCAGTGTTTATTTGTAAAAGGAAACGGGAACAATTGATGCTATCATAAAGCAATCAAGGCCAAGGAAGAATGAAAACAACTTATAACTGCAGTCAACAAATGGGAAAGAACAACCAGTGCCTTGTGTGTCATAACCCCTATCATTCTCTTTATCATTTCTTCCTACCGTTCTCTATTTAAACACAGACTCATTGGTGGACAAACACTTGAGATAATTAAGTGACCACTTTAATGCCAAACATGAATATTTAAATTAATAGGTTTAGATTACAACATGTCTGACCTGATTCTCCCAGCTTCAAAGTACATATACATTTCATGGACTCTGGGATGAGAGTTTGTGGTAGACGGCTGACTTTTGAGAACAGGATATAAAGAAACTGTCTCCTTCAGTTCTTCAAATCGCCAATAATTGTCTTGTATACATTATGTATGTGTGTGTCAACATAGGACACTATAAATATTTATTTAAGAAAGCACTTTTATATATTTTACTTTGCTCCTAATAACAATCCTCTGAGGTAGTTTGTAAAGCTACTTTCACCATATTATTGATCAGAAAACTGACCCTCAAAAGATGGCATGACTTGTCCATGGTCACACAACCAGCAAGAGAAAGATCCAAGAAGAATACCGAAGTCTATGTATGCCTTCCTTCCCTTTTCTCTTGGCAGTACACTGTTCTGGTTTTTGGAACACTTTTCTCTATGAATATTAGGAGCCCCCCAAAATTAATATACCCACAGGGCTGCATATTAGATGTAGCAAGGATAGAATACAGAATGATCTTATAGCTGTTCTGTTATCAACATAGAAATACTAATTATTTTTTAATGACTTTGTCATAACTAAACTTACTATCTTTCCATAGAAAACTAATACTCAAAGCTCATGATGGATTGCAGAAATTATGAATTCCAGAACAGATATGACATTGCTGGGGAGCCTTTTACCAAAAAAGAGTGGTTGCTGGGGGTTCGTATTTACTAGATTTAGAGAATGATTTTTGCTGGTTTTCAGTGACATTTGCTACTATGCCCAGTTGGCCGAGGAACTGAACTCCTAATTAGTCTTTTAATCTCCTGGCCAGTAACTACAGACCCCATGTCACAGAAAAGTTTCAAAGAGAACTTTTTAGAGATGAGTATCAAACAAGATGCATGGAAGTACTGAAAGACCCTAAAGAGTATGAGAATAGTAAGAAAAAAAAGTAGAAAGGATATCATAAGTAAAAAAAAAATGGTATATAAATTAGATGGCATTCAATGGTGAATGTTATGACATTGCTGGGGAGCCTTTTACCAAAAATAAGTTTGGATTTGGTGTCTGATTTTGACAATAGCAAGCATCTTTGCCTGGGAAATAGAAATTCCTACTTTGTCTTGAAAGGTTTCTGGGGCTATGTATCTTTTCCTGAGCTCTTCATGCATGTGTACTTTTATTAAGAAATAACATGTATTAACAAATCAGCTGGTATTTTATTGACAAATAAAACAAGAAAAAGAACCCTGTATTACAACTTTTCCTGGTTTTGGAATATATGAAGTGATTTTTTTCTGTTTTTGTATGGGTGTGTTATTCTTCATTTGCAAAACTTGGGGTATGCTTAAAAATGGCTTTGTAAAAGTGTTTATCACCCAGAAAAAGATAAGAGTGTGCCTTTGTTGACAATCCCTTCAAGTTTTAAGAATGCCGGGTCACTTTCTGACTTGTATAGAGCTAGAAGTTTTGATTTTCCCTCAAGCAGAATGGAATCTTTGAGCCCTCCAAAAGTCATTATTCCAGAAAGTTGAATTCTGTCCCTAAACCAGCCTACTTGTCTCCAGTCATATATTTGAATTGCTCTGGAACTTGACTATATGTTTCTAACCAACAACTTCATTCTTAAAACAACAAATAATCACAAAAGCCAGAAACCCAAAACTAAACAACCAAAGCGTATTCTGTAAATAAAAGGAGCTGCGACCGCAGGACTGCCAATGAGATTTCCTGCTTCAGGTCTGCAGCAACCCCCTGAGCAAGGGGGACTGAGATGTGGGGTTCACCTGACTTTAACCTGATTTTAAATCCTGACCATCTCTCCGCACATGACCAAGACTGTGTAACTACACTTGATGATACGGCTCTTATGGAGATTTGGAGTTACTGGAGAAGAAAATTAAAACTGTGAGAGAATTATAAGTCAGATGACTAAGTACTGTCCTGGTGCCAGGGGGGCCTGTGTTTTAGTCCTTCTTGGCTTCTAATCGTGTAGAACTTCCTCTCCTCATCTCAGTTTTCTACTTGGTAAAATGAAACAGTTGAACTTCACCAGTGTTTTCCAATGTCTTTAGCAGTTGAACAACTTTCTACAAGGAGCACACATCAAAAGCCCAAGTAGAAAACAGAAGTGCAGAGGTGTTTGCCTGGCTTTGCAGGTGGGAAAACTGGAGCCCCACCAACTCAGCCCCCCTGTAGTGTTCTCAGGGACCCTGGAGGTATCTCACAGGACTCTTGGTTCTGCAGAGAGAATTTGAAGATACCTGAAATAATGTAGTAGTAAGGGTCTAAAATTTTTTTTTAATCTGAAAACTTAAAATTTCCTGACCATCTATAGCTTACAAATAAGTGACACAAGCAAGGAGCCTTTGCTTTAAAAGGCACTAGAATTTTTGCACAGCCTGTTGCTTTAAAGAATCAATTTACAACCATTTGTGAAAAGATATTTAAAATTCTCCCCAAGACTTCAGGTCAGTGATGTCATGCGAAGGATCTCCTGAGAGTACTGACAGTGTTGTCCCAAAATAGATGTGAGATGACATATAACTCGATAATTGTTGACAACTCTCCCTCCTCCATGCTCCAACCCCAGAGGAGTTCGTAAACAGAGAAGAATGGGTGCACTGGGTGTCAAGAGGTAGTAGGGGCAGTCCTGTCCTTGTCTCCTTCCTGGAACTGCCAAGCTCTGAAAATAAGATGGAGAAAGGCACATACTGGCAGTAATGGGCTTAGGGAGTTATTCTTTGCATTCTACAGGTAGATGATAATATGAAGTTGAGTGATCCCAGTTTAAAATTATGTTACAGGTATTCTCATTTGACAAACCATGTGCAAATAGACTCTTCTCTTCATTCCTTTGCAATTACTTTGCTTTGTTCTTTTCTTGCATGGCTGCAGGATACTTTCTAACTTACCAAAATCCTGGCACAATCCTTGCATTGCCCTCAACTATGGTGTCTTATGATTGTCCACCATCTGCATTCAAAATCATATGCAAATTGCTCAAGAATCTTGTGCTTGCAGAAAAGAAATCATGTTTTTGTTCTTAGAAATGAAACATTCCTCTGGGCCTGTGGACAAATGCTTTATCTGTCATGAATAAACTGTTGAGCACCAGGAATGCACCATAGCTACCAACTGGTTGATTATCTTTGATGATCCAAATGAAGAGGTTTTCCCCCTTCGGACCAGCAGCACTTATATGCTAGGGCAGAGCCTTTGTACTTCCTGAAGGTCTTTTCAAGAGCAAACAACTGTGAATTGTAGGGAAATTATATTGCTGCTTCCTATAAGGAACATGGTTTATTTGTATGTTTTAATTCTCTCCTGGTATGGTGCTCATTATACAGAGAATTTGGCAAAGCACACAATAGTGTAAAAGAGCTGCATTTTTAATACAGTAATATTTTTGTTAAATAGCGAAACCTTCCTCCATTCTGTTCTGCTTGTATTTTAATACTTGGCAAATCCTGTTTAAAAACTTGTAGCCAATGTTTATTATACTGTGGTTGCACTGTAGTATGTAAAGTGGTTATTAAGTACTGTGGTCATAAATCACTTGGACAGCCCCATAACATTTTTACTGGCTTGTTCTGTTCTGTGTTCCTATTCATAGGATATCAATAACAAGAGTGACAGCTGACATTTCTCTTGCTAAGAGGTCTGTCCTAAATAATCCCAGCAAGAGAGCAATAATTGAACGTTCGAACACCCGTTCCAGCTTAGGTAAGATGTTCAAATGTAGCATTCTCCAAGCTGTGCTATCTGACTGGGGTGACACTTGTTGCGTTCGTGAATGTCTTTTCCAATTTGTTCCCCATTCTGAATGGAGAAGCACTGATAAACTGAAGGGAATGCTATCCATGGAAAGGAAGGGAGCAGAGTTCTGCGGCAGCCAGAGCCTCCTCTCTCTCAGCTCTAGTCAATTAGCTAATTAGCAGTCTGGTGCGAGGAATCCTCAATGGACTCTCCTACTCTGTTATTGCCTGACCACATGAATCCACTCATCTCTGCTTTGCCCAAGCTGCTCAAAGAGGCTAACGATATCCGTCATACCTGAGTCACAGCTGACATGAAAGGAAATGAGATGTTCAGCCTTCTCAGATCTTCAGAAAAAAGCTAGGTAATGTGTTGTCAGTGTTGCTTCTGCTGTTAGCTGGTAGGCCCAGAAGAGCCACATCTGTAAGTGGAAATAGCAGTGAGGGGAAAATGGACGTTCCTATGGGCAGGATACTTACCTGATCTTAAACTACATAATGATGTAATTGACCTACTGCTACACTAATGACCCATTATTGACTGAGTCACTGTCTGAAGAGCTCTGCTGGGCAGAGGCAGAGATGGAAGTGGATTACAGACCTGCTGGATGCAGATATGATTCTAGCACTCGACCTACTGTGGGCAGAAGAAAGCTGGGTATAAACCCTGTTACCCCAAGAACATTCCATTGTCATTTCTCGGTCTCACTGAATCCATAGTGAACTTGCCCAGGGCTGAAACCCTCAGGGAAGACAAGCAGCCACCATTAATGACATGCAGGAAGTTTAAACTCAGAAAGCTTGCTGAAATTCACTGTATTGGAAAAGAGAAAGGCTGTATGTTGAGTTCATCAAGCCATACATGAGCAGGGCAGTGGAGGGAGGGAATCACCATCCATAGAAGTGAGTTCAGGCGGCTGGCAAATGGTAACATTCACCTCAAAAGCCTGTTTGTGGTTTCTGTGATGGCCAACAGTGGGGAAGTCCATTCATAACTCTAGGAGTTTCTTTTGCATCACATTTTGAGAGTTTTGCTTCCCTATGCCTTATGGGCAGAGTAGGAAAGATAGGACTCTCTTATGCCACCACATTTCTTAAATTACTGAAACAAACTATGATAGAAAACTAAAAAAAGTCCAAGATAGATTACATGCCCAAACATCTCATTAAGAATTTGTTGAAGGCTGTGCCTTGACCCTGAGGCAAGATTTATACAGATTGTAAAGAGGCCACAAAGTATCATTTATATATTCCTGGCATGGCATTGGCATGTAGTAATTGCTCAATAAATGTTTGTTGGATGGTTACTTTCTGAAAGAATGCTAAACATACCAATGGAACAGTTGTCAGTGCTTGTGAGGACAAGATCCAGGATACCAGTAGTTCTTTCTTTCGTCCTGTATGTAGAGCCTTCCACATATAGAGTGAAACACTTTTAAAGGCACAGTATTTTGACCTTGAGGAGGTGACAATGGCAGAGTTGATGATGATAAATCAGATTAGGTAACTGACTAAAGTCAAATATCATGGGTGACAGTCATGTCAAATTAGATTGAAGATTTCTCAGATAAGCACCTATTATTCTCTGTTTTCCCATTTTCTACTCTCCTTCTCACTCCACACAGTGCCTTGACTTTTAACCCCTCCTTCCTCTGATGTATGATGAGAGGCTAAAGGACACTTAAAAGCATGAGCTCGGTTGCTAGACTAACCATCTGCACCAGCTAAGGAATTCATGGATACTATTTGAAGTCATTCTCTATAATCAGTCACCTGTTGTCAAGAGTAGTGGAATGAGTGGGGTGGAGTTAATATAAATATTGAGAGAAAAACAAGATAGATGCCAATTTACTGGTTTTAACTGTTACTCTGTAAAAATTCATATACCCACAACAATTGGGGTTAATTTCAGTCTGTTATAATAACTACTATGTGAGCCACTTATATCCATGTGCCTGCTTGTTAATGTACGTTTGTAGGTACGTTCATCAGATGTTAATTGAACACTTGTTATATGCCATGCCAGACTTAGGAAGCACAAATGTAACTGAGACAAAGTATCTTACCCATGAGCAAACAAAAAGGAGGTAAGGATGGTTAAAATACTTTCTGATAATAGAATTACGAGCAAAGAGCTAGGGGTATAAAGAAAGGGAGGGAGGAAGAGGTATCTGAGAAGACTCACAAAAGTTATATTTGAGCTGGTTCTTCAAGGCACACAAGAATGTACAAAGGTGTTGGCATATAAAAAAACATTGTGTATTGAGAAATGAGTGGTTTTGTGAAGAGCATGCTTAGACAAGGGGAGTAGATAGCATGGTTTGAGAGCAACAGAAGACCCTGAAAAAGCAAATTGAGGCCAGTGGCTTAAGCCTCCCAGTGTGCCTTGCTAAAGAGACCTCCAAACTTGAGTCCATGAAATGTTAGTTCTGAAAGATACTACTGTTTGTTATACCCAAAATGCTTTCCATGGTCAGATAAATTTGGAAATTATGAACTAAACAGTTGGCAGGCTTCTTTACTGCAAGATTTCTTAGAGCCATAAGGATACAAAGGGTAAAGCCTCGTCTGAAATTCCAAGGGAATCTATTATAGTATGTAATATTTCCCTTGCAAAAGAACCCCCCTTTTCCCTTGGGACATCTTATGGGTTAGTGTTCCAAGGTACTCACTTTGGGAAATGTTGCTTTGAGCCCTAGGGAGTGAATTAAGCATTTGGATCTAAGAAAGAGTCCCAGTGACAGATGCTGGAGAGAGGTGGTCCAGATCAGCTGTGCTTCTTTCTGTTCTAGAAGTGTTCGCTGAGAGCCCTCCAGCAGCAGAGCCTGTGCATTCTCAGAGCTCATTTGTCTAGAATATGTTTATGATGAAATTTCCATTGGAACTCTTCTGAGAATCAGCCTGGGTAGTCAATACTGTTGAGTTTGGTTAGTTTTTCTTTAAGAAAATGAGTTGTGTAGATAAATATACCTTTCTCTTCCTCACATGTATAATTTATTTATTGTGTATTATCCAAATACTGGACCCACTCCAGGCCATAGTGTGGCCCTTAGCAGCCTCCTGGCCTGCACTGGTGGGTATCTCACTGCTCGTGCTGGAGTGCCCATTGCCCAAGAGTTCTGTGTTGGTTAAGCAGCAGGTGAGCCTGCCCTTTGCACCTGTCAAAAGCCACACTTACCTTATTGCTGGTGCAGAGTAAATAAGGCCCAGGTATTTCTCAGTCATTTACACAGAGACTCAGAGTACCTTAAGGGTTCTTTGTACCAGAGCAATCCAGCTTGTGTCACTCTGCCTTTTTGCTATTTCCAAAAATATTGTTTTAAGATTTGAAGCTTAAAGCAATAGAGACTTGTTCTAGAATACTCCTGGCCTGGAGTTACATTAAACCAGTGGCAGTTTAATGAAACCAACAGATGAAGAACATACCGCAACAGCCTGAGACTGAAACTTACTACAGTAAAAAAAATAAACTTTATTTTCAAAACTTCACTTAATAGAAAAACCTTTTTAAAATAACTGTTTCCAACATGTGAGAAAAAGGGACAAGTATCTTATTATCATTATGTGTATTATATGTAAAATATGATTTCAGAAGAATTTTGCAAATAGGCCTAATTTGTCCAAATTCTTTACATTGCTATCTTGAAAGCTAGTCACATTTCAAAGCAACATGCAATCCTTCAGGCTGTTAGTATTGGATAATATGAAAGATGACAGATTCTTTTAACTCCTTAAATTCATACTTCTGATACAGATCATGTGTTGAACATCAGTGATTTTGTGGAAAATAAGAATTTTTATGGTATTATGCAAAGCTCAAGAAAATAGTTTCATAATGATTTTTAGCTTGATGATCCTACACACACCCTGTCAATCCGCTTGGTCTGGAAGGGAGAACATTTTGGTGGGTGGCATGGACTTGGATTTATACTTACACAGGATGAGCAAAGCAATCATGGGATTCTGGTATAAACCGTTTTCAGTGAGGATATTTAGAACAACATCACCTTTTTCCTAGGCCATCTTTGATAATTTAAATGAAGTAGCTTGGTCTACTTTGTGTAATTTGAACAGGATTACAATATTGTTAGGTCACACCTATAGCTAAAAGTAAGAATGAGCAAAAAGCAGAACAAAATCATCTCTCTGAAAATTAAATAGTCTAATTCAAACTTTAGACATCCAGTAAAACAATTTATAGAATAGATATTTTTAAAACTTGTCTGTTTCAGAAATCCGTATTATGTTTTTATAGATAATCTGTTTTGCTTAAAAAATAGCTGGATTGCGTTAGCCATTGCAAATAACTAGATTTTTCATTTGACCAGATTCACACACAGCTTTGGGTCACTTGGGAATTATAGCCAGCCAAATAGATTTGCGTCTACATGCTTTGCAGCATTTTAATATAATTGGTCTTAGTTTTTTGTTTTCTTAATACTGAATCATGCCTTAGAACAAGTCCACTAGCCCTAATACTTAAATTAAGACTTAGCAATATGCTAGTTGTAAGAGTAGACTCAGAACATTTAACCAGGAATACAAAAATGTGCATATCAGTCAAAACAGATGAATTGTAGGGATTTTAAAAATGTTTATCTATAAAATATTACTATGTAGGTTGTTCGTTAGAAATTTCAGTGTAATTTGCTCTCCATGTAATGTCGCTCCACACATGTATTTTGTTTTTTTCCTAAATATGGTTTCAACTTTATAAAAATAAAAGTTCTTTAGAAAAAGCAACAATCAAAAACAACACAGCTATATAAATAGCTAAATACTAGGGAAAGGCTAAAAAAAAAATAAAAGGCAAATCAAGAGATCTCAATTTTTTCCACCACTGTTTGGTTTTATACAAAACTCAACCCATCTCTTTCTCTTTAGAAAATATCTTAAGTCAGATAGTAATATGAAAATTCAAAATATTCTGTTTTGCAATAGAGACAAACGTATCTGAAAGAGGTACTATCTCTTAAAATATAATAACTAATTAATAAAAACAACCATAACCTGTTATTTTTTTCTCCTTTTAGCGGAAGTACAAAGTGAAATTGAAAGAATCTTTGAGTTGGCAAGATCTTTGCAACTGGTTGTTCTTGATGCAGACACCATCAATCACCCAGCACAACTTATAAAGACTTCTTTAGCACCAATTATTGTTCATGTAAAAGTCTCATCTCCAAAGGTAATTAGCTCATATCCGTCTTAAGGATTAGAAGCTAATTTCTTTTGAAATATTCCTGGCTCTGTGCTTGTTAGTGGGTAAGGAGAATGTCTTGTTGAGACACTTTTTAATGAGCACACTTTGTAATTCCCACAGTCTGTATAGATTCTAGAAATTCTAAGACAACAAATGAAGAACAGCCCATTCCTTCAAGAAGCTAATTGTCTGTTGTGATTCCCCAACCTGTCAGTTATGCAAGAATGTAATAAAAACAAAAAATTAAGAAAGGTGAGGATAAGTTTAGCTTGTCAGAGACTGTAGTTTCTACCTTGGTAAATTTCTTGGCTAACATTGATTCTTGTATCACCTATATTCTTTCCCCAGCTGAGAGTGTATATATATATATATATATATAGTTCAAGAAAGCTGTCTATATCATATGATATAAAATCTCTTTGGAAAAGTTATAGACCTTTACATTTGTGCTGAGGTTGGGTTCTTCAAGGAATATAAATACTTTGTGATTAAGAACAATGGGATAAAAAGTAAAGTGGGCCAGCCTCAAATTGGTCTCTTTTGATTTGGGTGTTCTATAATTTTTAAGAAGTGATGATGTTCTAAAAATCTAGTATGAGATAGATATCCTTGGGAGGTACTACCTTAATCAGTTTTCAGTGCCTCCAAGAGTGCCTTGTAGTGCTTACATGCCATTTCAACTTCCATGCAGAACAGGAGTCCCCGCTCATGGGTGGAGAACATTTATAGAAGCAGTGCCCTTCTTCCAGCTCTCTGAGATCCTCAGCCTCCCTCTCTCCAGGCACTCATTCTGCTTTGGATGAGTTGGGAAATCCCAACCAAACCCCTTTGGGAATCATTAGAATGCGTTGAAACTGCCTTGACTACCTGGAGGTCTCCTTGTTCCAGAACTGGAGGGGAATTCAAGCATCCTTTGCTACAGTGGAATCGATTTCAATCCCTCTTGCCCCTTGTCCCAGACACCATAGAACCCCAAAGTGCAGAAATGGGGGCTCTCAGGATGTATGTGCTGAGATATCATAGAGACGCATACTGTTTTGTGGGGAGGCCATGTTTCAGCTAAGAAAATAATTTAAGGGAGGGGGAAGTATGTGGCAAAGTACAGTTATAGCAGTGCTCCGAAAACATAGATGTATCCCTGGTTTATATGTGGCAATATACAAGTGCAAATGTTTTGTCTGGATTTCTATATGAAATCATCTTAGTAATGTAAAGGTAAACTGGAATGCCCTAGTAATTATCAGTGACAAAAAGGACCAAATATATAAATGATGCTGATATTTATTTGATATTGAGATAGTGAACCAAAATGTAATTCACCTGAATTTGGACAGTAATGACCCAGTACAAATCAGTTCCTCCCCTTTTGCAGGGCTTTCTTTGAAATCTCTGAGAAAAATCTAAGGTGGCAACTCAAGATCCCACCAAGACCTTAGCTCAAGAATAGGATAAACTTAATCAAATCCACTATAACTGAAACCCAGTGTAAGGGGATGATGTTATCACAGAATTTATGTACACGATTTGTCACAGCGCATTTACTCTCTACTAATACTCAGAGCTAAACAGACTATAAAAAAGGTTTGATTTATTTAGTTTTCTTTACTCTTGTTGACAGTATCTCTGTTTCATGTCTTCTTCCGTCAGGTTTTACAGCGGTTGATTAAATCTAGAGGAAAGTCCCAAAGTAAACACTTAAACGTTCAACTGGTGGCAGCTGATAAACTTGCCCAATGCCCCCCAGTAAGTACTATCATTTTTTGTCTTAATTTTTCTTGACTAGTTAGGAGAGGGTGGTGTTTTGTTTTTTTTCTTCGTATTAGCATCGCCACTTTTATTCTGGAATGATGGGGAATGATGGTACGTTGTCATAAACCCAAAGGATTTCTTGGACCAAACTGCATGCAGAAGGGGTGGTGTCTGCCATGTACTAAGAATGAACTTAGTGTCCAGTGTCTGATGTCCTTACTGCCAACCTTGATCACCTCTCAGACACTCAGCAAACTACTTAATCAAGTCATGTGGACAATTTTATGAAAAGAACAAATAAAACATACCAATTTGATTTTCCTTTAACTTTTCTGCCAGAAAGTTCTAGTAGGCATGAAAGGTTTGACATTGCAGGTTGAGAATTTATTGGAACCAGAAGAGCCCTATGGTGATAGCAGATGAAGAGGTCAGCTTAAGTAAAATGAAAAAGCATACTACAGCACTTTTCTCCTTGTGCCCTTGCCAGAAAACAGCTGCTGAGTTGGAAGCCAAGCAAATGGCAAGGGGGTGGGGATGGAGGAGGGGGTTGGGCAGGGCGGTGGCAGGTAACTGCTATCAAATTGGTCACCAATGGCCCATCAGTGTCTACACCTGCTCAGCTTACTATTTCTGTGCCTATGTTTCTTTAAGGGAAGTAACTGTCTTTCCTACTGATCTAATACAGTAGATTTTTTTAATATACTTGTATAAGGATCATTTGTGCTCTGTGGAAGCATAAAATCCAATTCAGATGTTTGGAGAGGCAATACAGTGTAGCTTTTGAAAGTATAGACTCTGGAGCCAGATTGCTTATGTTCAAATCAACACTGAGTAGTTATATACTCTTAAGCAAATACCTACTTCATTGAGTTAGTATAAAGACTCAATGAGCGAATTGAGTAAAGGTCTTAAAGCAGAGCCTGGCACATAATACATAGCATCTAAATACTGGTGTTGTAATCACTGGATATACTTTGCACAATTCCTTGACTAACTTGTCAGGCTCTGTAATGATCTGTGCCTGTCTGATTCACTGTCTCTCGGTTCCCTATCATGGTAGGCCCACAATAATTATTTATTGAATGAGTGAATGAATGAAAAGATATACAGGCAATAAAAGTTAGAATGCATCCTTGAATTAGATGTTTACAATGGGCCAGACACTGCTAGTTGCTTTATACAGACTACCTCTAATCCTCACTGTTCCCTAGTAAATGGGCACTGTTATCCCCATTTTGTAGATGAAGAACTGAAGAGAGGTTAAATGACTTTCCAAAAGTCACACAAATTAGGTGGAGATTTAGGTTTATGTGGCTTCAAAGCCAATTTCCTCTTGTCGCAGGCCCACCCACCTATACAAACACACCTGGTTACCTGCCTACAGATAATTGGGATTGCTTGGAGTCTAGAGTACTATGCTAAGAAGCCTGACTTCTCACTGCCTGCTAACAAAGTGCACTTACACAATGGAATGTGTGATTAAAGCCCTGAGCAAATACAGAAGAATGATTACCCAGCTCCTGTCTATAATGCTTGCCAGTTGAAGGGACCCTGTACTCAGTAGCTACCAAAAGCCGGACCTATGCTGTTGTTTCCAATTTTTAGAGCAATCTTATAAAGAGAGTTGTATCAACTTGGGTTTTCTGAGAAGCAGATACCTGAATAGAAATAGAAGTGAAAACACCTGTGAGAGATAAAAGAGAAAGGTGACAGACCGGAAAGGGGAAGAGCTTTTGGACCTGATTCGGGTCTGATCCTGTGAAAGGGAAGGGGGAATGATAGGAGGAGGGAGACTGGGTAGGAGGAGCCTCAGACTGTGAGGCTCCTTTGTGGCGTGTTGGGTACGTGGTGGCAGGACTGGTCAGGCTCCAGTCCCGGTGCTGTGCTGGGAGCAGCCCGGGGAGCGCATGGCCTTGGCTTGAATGCTGTGGTGGTTCCAGAGGGTGCAGCAGCTGCAGGCTGTTGACTACACTCATCATAGCAGGTTCTCACTCAAGAGGAAACTTGAGCGAGCGCCTCTGTGGCCGCCCGAGTAAACAGCATTACGTACTTTCTAGAGGAGGAAGCTAAATCCCAAGTAAGAAACTTTTGGAAGTAACAGTAAATTAGTAAATGAGCCCTAAGATTCAACCCTAAATCTGTTTGACTTCAGCAAACACCTGGCCACTGTCCTGCTGTATATATAGCTGTGTAGTGGAGATGAATCACTAGTCCCCAACTTTGCTGTATAAGAAATACCTCATTTTCTACATTGATCCCCACCCCACTTGGGCTGCAGGATATTCAGCCATGCTTGCTGCTGTCTTTACCCTAATCCAGGGCAGAACAAAGACCCCAAGTGGTAAGAGTAGGGTTGGTGAGGAAGTTGAGGGGGTGGCAGGAAGAGGGGGAGAAAATTCTAGACAAGTACACGTGGTCCTTAAGGATGGATGTTCTACTGCATTAGGCCTCATCCGGAATAGGGAATCTTTGGCAAGGCAGGGAGACGCATGGCCCCTCCTCTCTGAGGCCTTGGCAAGGAAGTTCCCTTCTTTTCTCTGACTGCGGAGGGGAGGTGTTTTTCTCTTTTCCCCTCCTGTTGCTATTAAAGGAACTTCCTCTCTGCATTTGTTGTATGCAAAAGAATCGCCACCTTCTTCTGTTTTGTTGCCTTGCTGCGTGCTAGGGATACAAAGGTAGGATATTCCCACGTTCAAGGAGTATATATATATATATTCCTATAAGATAACAGCTGGCTAAGTCAACTCTTGGCAAACAATTCGGTAGATCATGAATACAGGTAAATCTCATGTAGATTAAAAGAGTGGTTTGGTTTAGATCAGGATTTCTCCACCTATTGACATTTTAGGTTGGAAAATTGTTATGGGGACCTGTCCTGTGCATTGTGAGATGTTTAGTGGCATCCTTGGCCAGTAACAACCCCCAAGTTTGATAAACAAAAAATATCTCAAGACACTGCCAAATGTCCCCTAGGGAAAAAATATCGTCTCTGGCTAAGAACTGGTTTAGATGAATACATACACAATTTTGGTTAATTATGTTATAAAAACTTTCGGTAAATAATTCCTTGAGTTGGATTTTAGGTGAATTGAACTTTTTTGTTAATTTGGTATTTTCATGAGAATGAATTTATGAACCTCTTTTCCTAATAATTACTAGAGAAAATGCTTGTGTCTTATTACACAGATGTATTTTAGCTTCTGCAAGGGTTGATAACGGAATAGTTGTGTATGTAGTACAACTTGTTACATCTGAAATAAGCAGAATCAAGAAAAGATATGTGCATCTTAAATAATGCTGTGAGCTGCCTTAGGACTGGTCCGCATGTCAGGAATCTCAAACACCCTCATGGGAAGACAGCCTTTACCCATCATTAGCTCATCAGGATAAACACTTCCTTGTTTTATATAATTGGTCAGATAACCTGGAATTTTAAACAAGCAGTCTGGGTAAGCAAGGTTACCTTGTATTTAATATTTTCTAAATACTGTATATATTATAACCACGGTCATTTGATATTTGGAAAGCACTTATAATGCTAAGAAGGAATTGTATATTCTGTTTTTTGGTAAGTGTGAAGAAAAATCTTCAGATTATAAACACTAGTAGCAGTCTAAAAATGTGGCTGTATTTGTCCCTGCTTTACTTCCAGACCATAATTATAATTGTCATCCAAAGACTGGTGATCATTGTGCCATTTTAGTTCCTCTAGAAGCATTTGCAACTTGCTTAATTGGCCACTGCATCTCCAATCTGAAGAGCCAGCAAATTAGACTGGCAGAGTCTCACAGAGCTAAGAAATTAAAGGCAGCAGTCTTCAGAAAGGGAAGTCTGAAAAGAGTATGGAAAAATGTTAACTCTCTGTAGCCAGAAAATGAGTCCTAGACTTAGGGACTATTGAAGAAGCAAAAAGGGACCCAGTGTAATATTTCCTGGAGTGTGTCCTTCCCAACATGGGCTCCATGCAATGTCAAGGTGTTAGGGGGAAAGAGCTCTGATACCAAAAATGTTTGAGAAAACACTCATGTAAACAAAGATAGATTGGTTTCTTGACTGCAGAAACCTTAATATGCTAATATGCATCTGGTTGTTTCCATTAGGATAGATAGTATGCAGTGTTTCCTCTGCATTTTGGCTGTAGAATCATTTTTCCACAGAGCATCCTATAGATCTAGTGTTTCATGGAACACTTCTAGGGAAAGACTGTCCAAACTCCTCATTTTACAGATAAGGGACTGAGATCAAGAGAGGTGAACTGGCTTTCCAAAGGTCATACGCCTTGGCCCAAATCAGCATAAGATCTCTGTCTTTTCACCTAGTGAATGGCAACAGACTGGTAATTATATATTCTCCTGGGAAGGAAATCATGAGTTTCATGGATAAGCCTTCTTCTAAGAGAGGGGTCAGCAAACAGTTTTAGTAAGGGACCAAATAGTAAATATTTTAACCTTTGTCTTCTTTGCAAATGGTCCTCTTTACAAAACTACTCAACTCTGCCTTGGTAGCAGGAAAGCAGCCATATCATACATAAGTGAATAGCAGGTCCACTTTGTTTATAGAAGCAGGAAGCCGGCTCAAATAGCCAGCCCACCAAAGTTGTCACCTTTGTTCTAGAACAAGGTTCTGTTTATCTATTACTGTACAATAAACTACTCCAAAACTTAGTGAGCTCAAGCAATGATGACTTGGTGGTATTCAGCAGGTGGCTAACCTGGACCCTTAGCAGGGGAGGCTGGAGGGCTGGACTCAGCTAGTTCCTTTCCCTCCCTGCAGTCTCAGGGCCTTTCCACAGGATCGCTCCAACAAGGATAACAGTCTTCTTATATGCCAACTCCCAGGGCTCCAAGAGCAAGTATTCCAATCTCTTTGCTTAGATTCTGGGCATAGATACTGGCACAGCATTTCTTCCACAGTGTTCTGCTAGTCAAAGGAGTCAGAGAGGCTCCCCATTCAAAGAGAGGGGACAGACACCCTCCATTTCAATGCAGGGAATA